TGATGGGCACCAGCAATAGAGCTAGTCAGAAAATGTGGACTTTTGGGGTTGTGAGTGTAAACCTAAAGGAACATCAGCCCATTTTTAGGGCAGAGCCAGTGAGTGTGGGAGGAAGATGAAGGGCAGAGAAGCACCAACATCCAAGCCAGAGCAGGGGTGAGGAAGAAGAGGAGGAAGGGTCACTGTCAGCACCAGGCACAGATGATATGGTTGCCATAAGTTCTGCATATCCTGCTCTACCTGTCCCAGTTTTAGCTGAGAAAGCACTGGATGAAATGGGGCCAGGAGGGAGCTGGAGGTGCACCACTTCCACTGGCATACCTCTCCAGGTCACCTGGCTGTGTGGGAGCAGGTGTTTTGTTCAGAGACACATAACACGGGAGCAGCGTGGGATTTGCTTGCAGTTCGTTGAGCACTCACAGAGAAACAGGGCTGACATCAAACAGGAAGAAGGGCTGGCGTGAAAGGCGCTTGACAGTTGGCACAATCTGTACAGTCAAAGTTCGGGTGAATATTAACTGAGGTGAAGAGCCCAAATTCTCCTGCAAGGCCCTAGTCAATGCTCTGGGACGTGGACTTTCCGTCTGAACATGAGGAAGAACTTCTTCCCTCTGAGGGTGACGGAGCACTAGAACAGGCTGCCCAGGGAGGTTGTGGAGTCTCCTTCTCTGGAGATATTCAAGACCCGCCTGGACAAGGTCCTGTGCAGCCTGCTGTAGGTGACCCTCCTTCAGCAGCAGGGTTGGACTAGATGACCCACAGAGGTCCCTTCCAACCCCTACTATTCTGTGATTCTGTGATTCTGTGACTTCTTTGGATCCCAGTAAGCCAGTCAGCAAGATTCGCCCCGCTGGCACAAGGCATCTCTGGACACTGACAACAGAACCAGTTTCCCTCACAAGGAACCCAAGACAAGAGCAGCCAGGATCCCAAGAGGCATGGAGGGAGGTGGTTTTGCACCTAGAAGAAAAGAACAGGAGCACAGCTTGCAAAAGCAAGCGGAAGAGCTCCGCTTTGCTCCTCAGCTAGGGTTCTTTCATAGCTGCATACTTTTAGGTGTGTTTGTCAATGTGTTTGCTCACAGAAGCTTTCAGGTCTGTGACCGTTGGGTTTTAAATCTCCTCCCAAGCCCAGATATTTGGTGGTTATTGCTGCTTTCATGACATGCTGACTTCAGTCTCTTTCGAGAAGGTCGGTGGGTTTTCCAGTGATTATTTGAGCTAGTTTTGAACTTAGACAAGTCAAGTCGGAGAGGAGTGAGCCGGGTGCGTTGCTGTTGCTGTTTGAAGTGTAAATAAGATAGCAAGGGATGCCGGTTTCTGCATTTAACCTCCTATAACCTCTCTGCACCTCAGTCCCATTGCCCTGAACATCCCATCCTTCAGGAGGTGAAGGACTCCAGCTGCTCAGGAGATAAGTGCCACGTAAATAACAGTATCAAGGGTGCAAAGGCAGATTATCTCTCTGGAGACGATGTTCCTATCCTTTCAGCAAAGCAGTGCCACTCATAAAAGCAAAGGTTTCCTGCTTACCAGCTGTTCATATCCGATACAGCTACAGAGTGGGTGAGTCCTCTCCATATTTGCACAGTGACCAACCCGAGGGAAGCAATCTTGATACCTTCTGAGGCCCTCCCATAATATACACGATTAGTAACAATTAAGAACTCATTACAGCTCTAATTACAGCCAATTTAATGCCACCTGGATTCATTCCCCAGTCAGCTCATAAAATATTGCAGCTATTATATTTCTTTTCATGCTCTAATGCAAAGAATATTGCACCACTCACTCCGACACTGAACGAGGTTCTGTGATAGACATCTGCCTGCTCTCCTCTCCTTCCAGCAGCTTCCTGCACGTGGCAGTCTATGGGCTATCTTCACACTCAAGTCCTGATATTTCTTCAGCACATGGCCAAGCTCCTCTTTGGCTCCACTGAAGGCTCTGCAGATTTCATCCAGTTTGCTTTTGGCTTTGTTGAGGGTGAGGTCTCCTTCCTGTCCCACTTCAGCAATGCCTGGTGGAAGGAAGAGCACCCTGAGTCCCACCAGCTTGGACCTAACTGTCCTCTGGGCTGCAGGGCATCTGCCCACCAGTGGTCTTGTACTAAGCCAGCTGGTGACTGGAGAGGCTGGCAATCCCAGACTGTATCTCACAACCCTACGTTATTCAGATGTAGTGATGGAGGCTCTGTGGTAAACACTGAGTAAGACATTTGCCATCTCATTTTGCAAGCTAAAAATGATCTGAAAATGCAGGCAGGTTCTTGTGAGCACCTAAGGACAGCCCACAGGAGACTCTCGGGGACAGGTTTTATACTAGTACAGACAGCACATGCCCTTCGCTGTAGGAAACCAGAACTTACAAACCAACAAAAAAATATATTTATTCTATACTTTTCATCCTCTATGTCCAAAATGGCAACAGCTCTACCAAAAGATATTGAAGACGTATCATTACTTGGTCACGCTGAGGCTGTTTCACAAGTAAATCCACTCATTTTAAGAAAAACAGGCCCCTTTGCTGCAAATACTGATCTGCTCTCACACCGGAGCTAGCAGCCAGCACAGTGACCCGTGGAGCAGATGAAGGGGAGCCCAGTCACTGGGCTGTTACGATCTTTCATTCAAGCATGATGCACTTGAGCAATTAGCATTACTCCCTTTTTCATGAGCACAGCAGATGGGAAAGATAAACCCCTGGCCCGTCTCCAGGAGAAACTCAGGGAACTTTTAAAGAGCCTGTGGTTTTCTGCACGACAAAGCCTGCATCCTTGGCTTCCTGGTTTCAACACACCGATGATCTTCACCCTCTCTGCCACCCTCCCAAGGAAATCCCCGGGAATGCTCTAGGGCTTTGCACCATCTTGGTCTGTACCCATCCTTGGACTCCGCACTGGGACATGGAAGTACGAGATGACTTCTTGGTCTCTCCCATCCCAACCTATAAATTTTAGAAACAGGAAAGTAATTGTTTATGGAAACAAGAGACTAAGACGTGTTATAGCCTGGTATGAACATCAGATTAAAACATCAGGTATGTCAGCTCAAAGAGTATTTTGGGCTTAAAAAAGAAAAGAGACACAACAGCCGCACTAGCTCAGATAAGAACTATCATTTCTTCCTCGTTTGCTTTGCTCATTTAGATGACAAGGACTCTGCGATGCAGATCTTCTCTGTTTCCACACTTTGATCGGACAGACGCTGAGCCTGCACCAGGACAATGCGCACACTGCAGGACCGTCAGGGCTGATTCACCTGCTGGTCCAGCTCTTGCTCCTCCCAGAGCTGGAGACGAATCCAGCCAAGCCTTAATCAAATTAATTTGGTTGCAAAGGGATGTTATTTAGAGACGGCTAATGACTACCCTGGCTGGGCAATCTGGAGGTAGAATAGCAGGTTTGAGTCTGTGTCTCATACTTTCAAGCTGCTTTTTTTCATGAGTAATTTGCATCCACACAGTGACTTCAGGCCTTCACACCGCTCTCGTAGGAGGCACTGGTGCCCGTGTGAGAGCCCTGCTCATCAGGCAGATGGTGCTGCTTGCCCTTGTGCCAGCCAAGCATGGAGACCAACCGCTCTGCATCAGCACATCAACTGCTCACCGCTGGAGTCCACACCCATTGAGGCCGCCGGGGCACCTGGGCGGGAGCTCCAGGCACCATCAGGGCTGAGCCGTTCGGTGACAGTGACAGGTTGGCTGCGTGTCCTCTTGGGGTGACAGCTGTGCAGAGGACTGGCGCTCACTGCCACATCCCAGTGGCCGCATTCAAACCACCACATCCCAACAGCAGTGGTCAAACTACCCCAGTCCAACTGCCATAACTGCCCTGTTCAGACCACCGTGTTCAACCCATCAGATTCAGACCACCACGTACCAACTGCTGCCATTCATTGCCATGTCACAACCACAGTGTTCCCACTGGTGGCCCTGCCTGCCTTGCTCCCGAGGTGTACATCAACCAAGGGCTGGACATCTCATCCTGCCATCACTGGGATGAGTGCAAGCCCCCCACCTCATGGCCACCAGGCTGTCATTACATGTCCCCTCCCATGCCATGCTCCTCACAGCCGTGGCTCTCCCACCCCACAGAGAGATGGGGAGTCTGCTGTGGAGGAGCAAGATGGCACCTCCTAAGAGGAGGGAGAAGGGCCATCTTCCTCCTCCTTACCTCAGCTGGGCAGTTCATGGCGCTCTATGATTTTCACTGCAGGACAGAGCACCGCAGGCATTGCTGTTCCTTGCAGTGAAGAACAAAGCATGTTTTCCCTCCTTTGGGAGCCATGAAGTGATAAGACAACACAACGACATCTTTTCATTTGTCTGCAATTTATTGGTAATGAAAGAACTCAGAGGAAAGGGGTGCTGGTAGAAAGCAACCATGCTGTAGGGTTCATGCAACAGAAAGTTTGCAATAAGGCCTTACATACATCAGGTGTGAAGGAGATGAGGGAAAGGAACCTACAAAATATTAAAGCTGCCAAATTACTCCACCAAGGGAAGGTGGATATCTCTAGAGAGATATTTCTCACTCCTAAATCTGACTATGAGACATTATCACGTTTCTTCTGCTTACATGAATTCCCGATATAGCTGAAACAAGCATGTGGGCAACATGCAGGACACACAGAAGTTGCGAGGAAAACACGGCCATTGAAACAAAGACCTTAAAAAGTGAAAGGAGAGCAGCTTTATACACACTCCTCCTCAGCCGGAGCAGCACTGCATGAGATGCTTGGACAAGCTCTGCAGTCCCTGGTGCCCACAAGGGAGGTCTTTCACCTGTGGAGACTGGTGGAACTCAGAGAGGAGCCAGGCTCTGCGAAAAGGACGGTGTTTCGCTGCAGATCTCCCCTTGGGCTGGGTGATTGGGGGAAGTTATGAGCGATGTGGGAAACAGTTCATTTCCTTGCTGGGTGCTGGTGCTGGATGGAAGGGGCTGTGCTGCTGGCTGGAGGTGGGAGATGCTGCTTTCCTTGGAGGGACTGAGGTCAGGGCTCAGTATTTTACACCTGAAGATTTGACCGTTGTAGTTGTGACACATCTCCGCACAGAAGAGGATCCACCCCCTGCAACGAAGTTGCCACCTCCGGAGCTGCACACTCTTCCACTCCCAGAAGAGAAGCCACCGCTGAGGATTCCTCCTCCCACACCGCAGTTGCCTCCAACGATGTTTCCTCCTCCGACCACACATACTCCTCCTCCCAGGCCACTGCCGGCTCCAAAGCCACCAACTCTGCCTCCACCAATGGTGGTTCTGCCTACCACAGCTGCAAGAGAAGGACAGGCTGACCATGCATCAAGAGACAGCCTGGGAACCCTCACGAAACCCAGGGCAAAAGCCATTCTGCAGATAAGGTGGTGGACAGATACTTACAGACATTTACATTGGATGGGTTATCTCCACAGAGCCTAAGTTGTAATTATATTAAAATAGAAAGTAATTAAGCTCGGTGCAATTTCCCAAGTGCCCCTTTTATTTCCTGTTCCATTTAAATCAATCAAGAACACAGAGAAATATTCCCTGTGGGGAACTTGTTTCTGTTTCAGGTCTAAACACTTGGGGAAAAGAAGGTGGTAAATCAGACTCCAGCTTTACTTGGGTTCTGAGAGGTGACTGAACCTCAGTCTGTACCAAGGAGAGACAGTAGCTATGCCAGGCCGACCTGACAGCGGGTCTCACCTGTTCTCCTCTCCCTCCAGCAGCTTCCTGTACATGGCAATCTCCACGTCCAGGGCAATCTTGGTGTTCAGCAGCTCCTGGTACTCCTTCAGCAAGCGAGCCAGCTCCTCCTTGTCTTTGTTCAGGGCACATTCCAGCTCTTCCAGTTTCCTCCTGGCGTCCTTCAGGGCCATCTCACCCCGCTCCTCGGCCTCGGCAATAGCTGCCTGCAGCTGCTGGTTCTGAGGAAGCAAAAAGAAAAGCAGTTTCTCAGTTCCCATCTGCACACCCTGTGCCAGAGCAGCCCTCGGGGCACGAACTCGACGCAAAACAGGGAGGAACTGTCAATCTCCTGCAAAGGACCTGAATTTCAGCGACTGCCTTGCCCTCACCCTCTCCTTAGCACACCACCCAGCTCCTTCATGACCCGGCCTCATGCCATTCCCCAGCGAGATGCTGAGGAACCCCTACCTGCTTCTTCACGTTCTCAATCTCAGCCCGCAGCCTCTGGATGTTCCTGGTCAACTCCTGGATCTCTATCTTGGTGTTGCGGAGGCTGTCCCCATGCCTTCCAGCAGTGCTCTGCAGCTCTTCGTACTGACAGCGTGGAGACAAGACAACCCATCAGTGACACAACAGACCCAGGACTCGCGCGGTTCCCCTGCTCTGCGGCAAGGAAGGCAGCCATCAGCAGAGACTGTCCCAGGAGCCCTGACCGCTTCCCAACTCACCCGGCTCTGGTACCAGGCCTCAGCTTCAGCC